ACATGTGGCTGCCATGTATATCAATCACACAAAGATCAAGACGGCGAGTTGAGGTGGGCAGTGGCTACAGGTGTTATCACAAGAAGCGATGATTCAAGCGGAAGAGTGAGTTATACGTCGCATCAGAAAGTGGAAGATACCATCGATCGAGGTGCGTCGATATGGCTTCCTCTTGAGGGACAGCATAATCCTTCGAATCGCGCGCATTCGGGTTCATTTACACCGAAACCTAAGCATCTCGATGCGCTCTGTGCATGCGAGGCTGTCCATCTTCGCGTCACACGCCCGAACGAGGCCAGCTACTTGCCGCATCGCAATTATCCGGACCTCATGTATCCTTACTGTTCTACTGACGATACCATCACGTCAAACCCATCAGACGATAAGTGGTGGATCAAAGGAAACAAATATCTCGCTGGAACCTGCGCCTGTGAATCTTGCCGCCTGGCCTCTGGATTCGAAATACAGACCTGGGCCTTTATCCCCCGGGTGAACATATTGATCCTTTCAACGGATGGCTCAGGATCAGAGGTTCCATTGGACTTTGGGAGGCTACCGACGGGTGCTCTGAAGGCATATCAATCGTCGCAAGGTGCAGTTCGTCACTTTTGCGGTGGATGCGGCGCAACTGTGTTTTGGCGAGATGCTACTGATCCAAGTGTAGTTGATGTGAGTGTAGGACTATTTCGAGCTGATGAAGGAGCTAGGACAGAGAAATGGCTTCACTGGCATAGGAGCCGCATAAGTTTCGCAGAAGAAGTGCAGACTCATCGATCTGGTCCCCTGGCTATAGCAGCTCAGGATTTATTAGATACTCTTTCAATGGGCCTGAAGAGAAGCACCGAAGGTGGACTAGACTGATCATAATTTATAATCTTATGTGAAGATCTTATGATAGCAGACGATATTCTCCTGAAAAGAAACTTTGTTTCCTATAAAAACGGTCGTTAATATTGCAACGGCTAGGATCGACGTTTCGAAACGGCATTGCATGAACAATAGGTCAGAGGTAAACAGCAATAAAGCCGAGAAGAATTCAGGTACAAAATTCATTCAACACAGCAAACACTAGAATAGAGTCATGCAGCTAATTAAGCTTATTTACTTTATTCTGTCTAGCTTCTTCATATTTCCCTCACAATCATAACATTTCCGTCACGAATAGACAACTCTACACACGATAAACATGCCCGCTAACAAACCCCCCGAAGTCCTAATCCCTGTCCTACCCAATAGAACTACACCTTTGCAACACGAGCATCGTTTCACAAAAGTGCTCGGTGTAGAATTCGATGTCGCTCTCGACCAAAATCGGCAGGACATTTCAGCTATTACCATCCATCGGCATAATTGACCAATTGAGCGTAGCACGTGCCTCGAGCGAAGATCATATAAAAAAGGGATCCAATGGAAGGCAAAAGTAGAGGAGGCAGCTCTTTTTTGCAGAGGAAGAGTACTATTCTGGCAATCATGGTTGGTTCAAGTCTCGTTGGCCTATTGGCTGTTGTTTTGCAGATATGTTTCGTCAAGGCGGTGGACGTAGACGTTGCGGTTTCTGCTTACACCGGCGACGTTGAGTCTGATTGGACTGCTGTTTACTATTCTGATCAGAATCCTCTGTTGATTGGAAACGATGGAGGGCCTGATAAGGGAGGGTTTCACGTCTATGATCTCAACTCAAAGGCGCCGTTGAAAGAAGTCGCTGCGAAAACACCTGGACGCAGCAAGCTCGTCACGACTGTCTACGATGTCAACAAGAAGGATATCCTCGTCACTATCGCTCAGCCAGATTCTATCGTTCGCGCTTATGAGATGCCAAAGTTCAAGCAGATCAAAGATGCAGACTTTAAAGTCCTAGGAGATTGGTCTGCGCTGTGCAGTTGGAAGAGTCCTGCTGGAAACGATTATGTCTACTTGTTTGGAAAAGGACAGGCAGTTCAACTACTTCTTCAGGAGACAAAGAAATCATTCGAGTTTGTTCAGGTGTGTTTTCCTCGGAGAAGAGGTGATAACGTTTGCTAACTTGTCAGATCCAAACTTTCCCTACTGACTTTGAAACATCGGGATGTGCCGTTTCACGCTCCGAGTCTCGCATGTACATTTCTACAGACGACGACAAGAGCATTTATGCCTTTTCACTTAAAGAGTCTACAAAAGCGCCCAAGATCACCAAGGTTGGAAAGGCAGAAGATGATGTGACCGGCTTAGCCGTCTACGTTCCCAAGAAGGGCTCCGACTACTTGTTCGTTGCTCAGACAGACAAAGTCGCTGTCTACGATTCCTCTTTCAAGCTTAAGGGCACATTATCCTTGACAGGACAAGAAGACATTGAAGTACAAGGACTGAACACTTACCAAGGTGCCACGAGCAAGTATCCAGCTGGTGTTCTGACATACGCTATTGAGTCAGAAGACGTCAATGGTTTCGCTGTCTCGTCCCTTGAGAATGCTTTGAAGAAGCTCAAAATTGAGGCCAACACCAAGTACGACCCAAGAAAGGTCAAGACAGACACCAAGACTGAGCCAATCTGCAAAACTTGTGGAGGCAACGGCTACTGCATCAAGGACAAGAAGAACAAATGCGAATGCTTTGCTGGTTTCGCTGGAAGTACCTGCAGCAGCTTCACATGCACTGACAAGTGTTCCGGCCATGGGAAATGTGTTGGACCCAACGAGTGTAAATGCGACAAGGGATGGGGAGGTCTTCACTGCTCGTTTCTTCTCATCGAGCCAACCTACGAGACTGAATCTCGTCTTGGTGATGGTGACGATCCTGCCATTTGGATCTCTCCCGAGGGACCGGAAAGGTCTCGAATCGTCACGACGATGAAGTCTGGAAAGGAGGCTGGTCTTGGGGTCTTCGACTTGGCTGGCAATCTTCTTCAGTCTTTCACAGCTGGTGAACCTAACAACGTCGACATGATCTATGGCTTCAAGGCGGGAAACCGAAAGGTCGATTTGGCTTTTGCTGCTTGCCGAGCTGATGATACGCTCTGGTAAGTTTCTTCTCCCTGTTATTTGTAGTTAGCTGACGATCAAGTCTCTTCGAGATGCTGCCCAACGGCACACTAACCAATATCCCCGGCGGCATCCACCCTGTTGTCGACGATTACAAGGTCTACGGCTCGTGTACCTACAAGTCACCCAAGACAGGAAAGCAATATCTCTTCGTCAACGAGAAATCAGCACGCTATCTCCAGTACGAACTCACGTCCACTTCTAAAGGAGAACTCCAGACCAAGCTTGTACGAGAATTCCAAGGCGGTAGCGGAGGCCAAGTCGAGGGCTGTGTATCCGACGAGGAGAACGGCTGGATCTTCCTCGGTGAAGAGCCCTCTGCCCTGTGGCGATACGACGCAGAGCCCGATTCAAAAGACAAGGGTCTAGTAATCGGCAAAGTCGGCGATGGCAACCTCTACGGCGACGTTGAAGGCGTAACCCTCGTCTACGGCTCCAAGCCCACGGAGGGTTTCATCCTAGTATCATGCCAAGGCGTCAGCGCATACAACGTCTACCGCCGAGCCGCTCCTCACGAGTTCGTTACCACTTTCACACTCGTAGAGTCATCAGACGGGCAGATCGACCCCGTGTCCAACACAGACGGCATAACAGCTGTGGGAACGGCGCTGAACAAGGATTTCCCTCATGGTTTGGTGGTTGTGCATGATGATGCGAACCAACTGCCCAATGGCAAGACCAGTGCTGAGGCGAGCTTCAAGCTGGTTAGTCTTGAGAAGATCCTGGGGTCCAAGGTGTTGGGGAAGAAGGGCCTGTTGGATCAGGTGGATAAGAACTGGGATCCTAGGAAGTGAAGAACACATAGAGCAGTTAGTGGGCTTTGCCTGGGTGAAGTTGTGTCTCTTTGAGAGGTCAAAGTGCATCACCCCTGAATCTATTGAGACCCATTTTGAGTCAACCGAGAACCTTCCCAGCGTCTCATAACAAAGAATATGAGACTAACATTTGCATGTGTTCTAATGAGGCTTTGATCATCGCCAAAGAGACTACTCATGTGCTTGTAATGTTGAGTGGTCACATAGGAGTGGCGTTTACATGAGGCGGAACAGTCTCGACACTCCTACACTCAGTGCTTTTGCCATCTTTTCCAGGTCTCTGATACCTAGATATCAAATAAGATGGCCTTTTTGGATCCACTATAGTTAACAGATAATTGGTTGCTGTCATGGGTGGACGCCGCAATGCTTGACACTGGCGGACGGGGCCACGATATCACGTACCTGCGTTGTCAGATATCAGCACAGACAGCGTTTCTATTGACGTTGTATATATATTGACTTATCACTGTGCTAACCTTCTACAATAACTTTCTATGAACTGGAGATATCTTCAAGTGCAATGCGCAGTGACTGGCAACATCACCGCTAACTGATATCACAGCCGTAGCATAACCACAACAAGTATAACTTAACCCAAAATAAACATTTCTCTTTCTCGAACACTTCCAAACTCTCTCGAAGCCTCTCCTCAAAGAGAAAAGTAGGTTTGTTTCATCTCCTCTCGCCGTTTGTAGGCCACAACCGGCCCCTTACCCTTTTTGGGTGTCAATAGAACCTCACTAAGCACCGACAGACGTCAATAGCCAAATAAACCCGCCAAACTCACATGAACCAACGTTTATCCCGCCCGCCAAGATTAATATCCTCGTGCATTCGCGCCTGTCAAGTAAAAAGCGAGGCGAATGAGTTGAAAGTGTCACATATCGTTAAGCTAGGAGTAGTTGGCTTCTGTGAATAAGCCGCAAAGCTACTCGTAGGAAGCTTTGATATCTTTTGCATACACCTCGTGGCTTATACCGTCTTTGATCGTCTTTATTTTGGTTCTATTGGGAATAGAAATCTCGCATTGACTGTTACTGTTCGATCCGAAGAGCGAAGGGGGCTTATTGACCCCGCAAAGCGTCAATAGACCTCAATAGAAGCCTTGCAACACCACAACCAGAGCAAGTGTGTGTATGCACGGGCAAATTCCCTTTCTCTCAAGATGGCCAACTACTCAATCTTTATCATGAACACTGAACTCGAGATCTATAAAAAACTACTCAATTCCATCATAAATACTCTCCTTTTTTTCTCTTCAGACTCGTTCCCATCGAAAGAAGAACAACGATATCTCAAAATACCTTTGATACACGACAACTATTTTACGAGTACCACTCACTTTAACAACTTTTACACTTCGAAACACTCACTCACTACTGAGACACACAAACCTCCTGGGATGAAATACTCCTTCGTTACTCTGGCCGCGGTGGCCGGAGCCGCACTCGCGGCGCCTCCGCCGTCTGCCATCGACAACTTCGGCCCGGATTTCTTCACCCCTTTCTGCAACCTCGACTACAAGGGCAAGCCATGCGAGGAGCTCGTTGGAAAGGGCGACAAGAACGCTGATGCCATCTGCAAGGCTGGCCGTGAGCACTTCTGCGGTCCTAATCAGAAGCGTGATGCTGTCCCTGAGCCTCAGCCCGACCCTGTTGCTGATCCCATGCCCTGGTGTACTTGGCGTGGACAGCCCTGCTGGAAGGACAAGATGAAGGCTAAGCGTGAAGCTATTCCCGAGCCTGTTGCAGCTCCTCAACCCGACCCCGTTGCCGACCCCATGCCATGGTGTACCTGGCGTGGCCAGCCATGCTGGAAGGAGAAGATGGCCAAACGTGAGGCTATCCCTGAACCAGTTGCTGCTCCCCAACCCGATCCTGTCGCTGAGCCTATGCCTTGGTGCACCTGGCGCGGACAACCTTGCTGGAAAGAAAAGATGCGCATGGCTAAGCGTGAACCCATTGCTGAACCAGTTGCTGCCCCCAAGCCTGATCCTGTCGCTGAACCTATGCCTTGGTGCACTTGGCGTGGACAGCCCTGCTGGAAGGAAAAGATGAGAATGGCTAAACGCGATGCTCTTCCTGAACCAGTTGCTGCTCCCAAGCCTGACCCTGTTGCCGAGCCCATGCCTTGGTGCACATGGCGAGGTCAGCCTTGCTGGAAGGAGAAGATGCGCATGGCCAAGCGTGAGCCTGAAGCTATCCCCGAACCCGTCGCTGCTCCCAAGCCTGATCCCGTTGCCGAGCCTATGCCCTGGTGCACATGGCGCGGACAGCCCTGCTGGAAGGAGAAGATGAAGCTCAAGACCCGCGAAGCCGCTCCCGTCGCTGAGCCCGAGCCCAAGCCTTGGTGCATGTGGCGCGGACAACCCTGCTGGAAGAAGACCAAGCGCGCCGCTGCCCCTGAACCCGCTCCCGAGGCTGAGAACGAACCTAGATGGTGCATGTGGCGAGGTCAGCCTTGCTGGAAGAAGACGAAACGTGATGCTACTCCTGAGCCTTGGTGCATGTGGCGTGGCCAGCCCTGCTGGAAGTCTAAGCGCGATGCTGCTCCTGAGCCCTGGTGTATGTGGCGAGGACAGCCATGCTGGAAAGCCAAGCGCGATGCCGGTCAAGCTCTCTCCAACGCCCTCCACGCAACTCGATCTCTCGACACCCGATCCGCCGACGCACCCAGCACCGCTCATCTCCCCCGCGACGCCGCCCACAAGGCCAAGCGCTCCATCGTCGAGCTCGCCAACCTGATCGCCCTCTCTGCACGCGGTAGTCCCGAGGGGTACTTCAAGAGCCTCGAGCTCGAGACCTTCTTCCCCGACGCTGCTCCCAACGCTACCGCCAAGCGCGACCTCAACACTCTTCAGGAGGATAAGCGCTGGTGCATGTGGCGAGGACAACCTTGCTGGAAGGCCAAGCGCGCTGCTGAGGCAGTTCTCGATGCCGTCGATGGCGATGATGGTGCTACTGGTCCTGGAGGTCCCGACTCTCACTACGATACTCGGGATTTCAAGTCTGAGAACTTTGCGGCTAAGCGAGATCTCATTGCCATCAAGGCAGCAGCTCGCAGCATTGCCGACATGCCCGAGGAATAAGTAAGTCCAAAGACGCTCATGGGTTCATCATAGTCTAACAACTTCAGGTGTCGATGACTTTTGAATCCGATCGTTTGCTTTTACAGTACGTCGGTAAAATTTTCGTCACTCTTTATCTACAAAAATTAGCAAAAAACACGCTCCAAGAATTAACAGAGACAAAATGAACAGGTGGATATGGCCATGCGGGGGGACGAGTTCCTCTTTTCTCTTCTATGCAGCTTAATTTTGCTGTACTCTATTTCTGGATAACGGTAGTGGATGGTTTGAGTCTGCTGCTTTTTTAAATGCGATTCTGCTTTTGGCATGAGTCGATAGGCATGGTTAGGATAGCTCCAAATAGTTGCTCGAATTCAACTGATTGTCTCAATGTTCTTGTTTCTTGTGATGCAGCATAAATGGTTGCTTGGGTGAGGTGAGGTCAATATTGACAGTGCAGAGTTTGACTGTATTGATTGGACCAGGTTTTGTAGGACAGACATTCGTCATTCGCAAGCGGACCGAGTGATAGATCCTTCAGCCTCAATGCCTTTGAAAGAACAATATCAAGACATACGCATTGTAACCTCGTAGATACAGTGCATTGTTGCGTAGGTATCATGCAGCACAGGTACATCCAGTGTTGATCATCCTTCAGCGTCGTTACAGTTGACGGTTCAAACATTCACAGACCCTGACTCCCATCAGCGGGTCATTTATCACAAGCAGATACTACATCAAAGTAAAAGTATGTACGTTCAATCATTGCGCTCCTCCCCATCGTCGAGGGAAGCACCGCACCCAAGATTGTTCGCTTTTCTCTCCATTCTGAGTTCCTCTGAATCGATGGTCCTGGGCGACAGGCCTTTCGACGCACCTCGCATCAATTATTAGAGAAACATGAACGTGGTTTTTTGCGTTGTTCAATATTTTGAATTGGAGAGAAAAGAGAAAAATCAAGTCAAATGAAATTCAGAGATTTTTCTTTTTCTACGCGTCGTGAGGATAGTGGGGCTACTTCTGGGTGCCTTGATGCCTGGTGCGCAAGGCTGCCATTTTGAGCTCTGGAGTTACCCTGGAGATGAGAGAAGATGAAGATGAGTTCCTTCCTAAAGATTCTTATTGATTTATCGGAAGTTGCACAAAAACTCCAAGAACTTTTTACAATATGTCAAGATAATTATGAACTTCAGCTGCCTTAAGATTTCAGGCTAAAACATAGTTCTTTCCAATATCTTTTTCGATATATCCTACCTTCCTCGAACCCGAATCTAATTTACTCAGGCGTACAACAACAACGCTTCTCCTCCACCTCTCAAGCTCCAACAATCTCTTTCTCTTCTTCTCTCAAATGACAATCATTTCCGCCCAAGATGATGAGAACTTATCCCTTGCCTCCTGGGCTTCCGTTTATGAGCGACCCTCCTTTACCATCATCCCATGACGGACAGCCTCGCAGGCTGCTCACTCCAGAGCCACCTCAGTCTGTCACAGTCGTGACCGGCAAGGCAAACGGCGCATTCTTTGACCGACTTCCAACTGAAATTCGCATGCGAATCTTGCGCCTGGCATTCGGTGACCGCACCGTCCATGTGGATCTCATTTGTGGTTATCCAATCTTCCCCGACACTAACCGTCATGGCGGGCTTCGACAACTGCCATAGTATGGCACTACCTCTGTTCAGAACCGCCCTCTATTTCCCGGTCCCCTTGTTATCGACCTCGACAAGTTGACTGCCTCGGGTAAACAACCGAAAGCGGAGTGGTCATGGCGAAGCTCTGTGTGTCATCGACTTCCGCCTTCTGGTTCGATGGACTCGCGTGGTCCTGGGCACGATCCTCAGCCATGCGACGATGAGTGTGTCCATGGATGGAACGGCCGAAATGGTTTCCGCCCGCAATGTGAGCACTGGCCTGGCGAAGGGCCAGAGAAGTGCTCTGTAGGGGCCATGGGCTGGCTACTTGCCTGCAAACAAGCGTAAGTTCCCTGCCACATTCAATGTATCCGCTAATGCTAATGATATAGTTACCGCGAGGGCATTCATGTGCTATACGCCTCGAACACTTTTCATACAGCAAGCAAGGAAATGGTTCTGAACATGCACGACTTCTTCCAACAGCAGCGACTCAATGATATCACATCTGTCGAAATCGTTTGGGAATTCACACCATGGGTCCTGCCAGACATCAGCGAAGACTTTAGAGTCGCTCCGCCCCTTTACGATATCGAGTCTTTCAGGCAGTTTCTCAAGACCATTCCCAATCTTTTCTTAAACGTCAAGAAACTTTATGTCTCCCTGCAAGGAGATATGATTCCCGAAATCGTATGGCCAAAACAGCGAGCATAAGTACTCGACCAAGGAGCGGATCCAACTCGTGGAGAAGAACATTATCTGGAAGGTCGACGCAATGGTCACTTACCTCAAGCCTAATGTCGACTTCTCAATTGCCTATCCTACAAGCACGTATGCTGTACAACGTAGTCTTGCTCTCCGCCAGGGCTGGACAGTGAAACAGAGGCATGAGACTGGTGAGGTGGAGCGACACTGGAGGCCCTTGGCCAAATGCCAACCTCGAACCGGCTACTGGGTCTGTCTGGGTGATAAGGATGTAAGAAGAAAGAGAGCGAGGGGCATTATTGGGCATAAGCATATGCCAGCGAGTGTTTCGGAAACGCAGTATGATGTTTTCTTTCGATCTTGAGGACTCGGATAGTGTATTGAGTGCATGGTCATTTGGAAGGAATATGGTTTAGGTTTGGGGAATTTCGATCGATTATATGCCAAAAGTCACACTGCACGAGTGCTGCATCTTATCGAGTGTCAACAAACATTAGTGTACAATATCCATTGCTCAGTTAATCTAAGCTAATAAGCAATATCATGATGCTACATTCGCGATAATGCGAGGCGTTCTCAGACTTTCGGCATGTAAGCAAATAATACGACAAGACCAACCAAAACCCCAAGAGCTTGGACTGGTGACAATTTGTGGCGAAGCTCTTGTGGTATCCACAGGGAGACACGATGCAGCAAATAACGACTCATTGAAGCTGTGCCAACTCGGCTTCAGATGCCGTGAATATTGGCACATCACCATGTCTTGTCCTTTTGGTGAAGAGCTGACTTGGCTAGTGAGGTTCTGCTTGGCGTATAATTCTTGGTGTTTGATGCGGAGAATTCAAGCAAGTGAGAAAAGCCAAGACGTGACATTATTCGATCGTGGCAGTACATTCTTCATCTTTATATCGATTCTTGATTTAAACCATGATGAGTGACTCCATGCGACATATAATTCTTGTTTCTTTTTCACTGTTGATCAAATGATCTGATTACATACTCATCTCACTCTACTCTTACTTCTCGATCATTCCAGCTCAGCTACAGCTATAGCTGGAAGCTCCCCTCTAGCTGCCCCTCATCTCATCCCACTTCCCTTCACTTCACTCCTCCATCTTCACAACATACGTACGTCATGGCTTCAGAACTCGCAACCCGTATCGGCGACCTCAACCCCTTCTCCTCCAAAAGTCGGCGCATCAACGATGAAGATTTCGGCGAGGAGATCGACAACAACACCGTCGCGGGCGGCGGCCACAGCGCCCGTCGCATGGTAACAGACCTCAGAGTCAGCAGCGCTCTGCGAGAGTTCCTCGTCAAAGAGAAGATGCTCTCCAAAAGGGAAGCCAAGATTGATTCTCAGGACTCGTCGCGCGAGCTCTTGGAACTCGTTAGCAAACCACATATTCGCGTGCCGCCTGAACTCACGGATAGGTCGCATCCGCTGCCGGAGTACTTTATTAGCTCGAGCCATAATACTTATCTCATGGCGCATCAGCTTTATGGGTCTTCGTGTGCGACTGCGTATGAGAGTGCGATTAGGACGGGGGCGAGATGTGTTGAGATTGATGCGTGGGATAATAGCGATGATAGAGATGAGCCCAAGGTCACTCATGGGTATACTCTAGTATCCAACATTTCGTTCCGTCTGGTGTGTGAGACGATTCGAAACTCGGCGGATCAAGAAGCCGTTGATGCGCAAAAGTACGGCTTCAGACCTTCGCCTATTCTTCTGTCGCTGGAGAACCACTGCGATGCGTATGGTCAGATGCGCCTCGTCAATATCATGCAGGATGTTTTTGGGGATCGTCTTTTGAGCAAGGCTGTTAGATATATTGGTCATGAAGAACAAGCTGGTTCAGGTGAACATGTGAAGCTTGAGGATCTGGGTGCAAAGATTGCTGTTATTGTTGAGTATCACTTTACGGATGAGCCTTCAAGCAGCGATAGCAACTCGGATGACTCGGAGGACGAAGAAGAGGAAAAGGCTGCGCGAAAGGAGTACAAGGACAAGAGAAAGAAGGAGGAGCCCTCTATCATCATTCCGGAGCTCGCTGAGCTGGGTGTTTACGCGCAGTCAGTCAAGCCAATGGACAACTCGTGGTTCGAAGATGGAGGCCTCGCCAACGGACCTCATCATCATCTCATCAACGTATCTGAGTCAGGTCTGGCATCTCATCTTCCGGAGCACGCATCAAACATCGCTCGACACAACGCCCACCATCTCATGCGCGTTTATCCCAAGGGCACGCGAATCTCATCCACTAATCTCAAGCCCGTTCCTTACTGGGGAATCGGAGCTCAGATCTGTGCATTGAACTTGCAAAACTTTGGTACCAGCAACCAGCTCAACGAAGCCCTCTTCAGCGGTACAGACGGTTACGTTCTCAAGCCCGCTGCTCTGCGCGCGGGTGGAAACGGAAGACTGAGCACAGGTCGCAGCAAGCGTCTCCGTCTTCACGTCGCAGGCGCAACAGACATCCCTTTGCACGGCGACTCAGAAGCAGACTCCATCAAGCCGTATCTCACATGCACGCTGTACCACCCTGACAACATCAAAGGCGATCCTCCCAAGCGCAAGACAGAGCCGTATAAGCAGCACAAGCTTGAGTTTCTTCACAGGGGACCGAACCCGCCCCCCACAGAGCCTCTTTGGGATGAGACGTTGACGTGGGAGTATGAGGATAATGAGTTGACTTTCCTGCGCATGCTTATCAAGAGTGATGATAGTTGGACGAGGAACCCGATGTTTGCTGTTGCGGCGGTGAGGTTGCTCTATGTTGAGCCGGGATGGAGGTTCATTCGCATGTTGGATCTCAAGGGACATGAAACGCAGTGTTCGGTTCTTGTCAACTTTGAGATCATTGATGCTTAGGAGGAAATTATGAGTATATGATGATATGTCTATGAATTATGCGAATTCCTTGTTGATTTGCGTTTGACATGGACTGAGTGACAGTCTTGCTTCTGGATACCTACCTTCGTTGATAATATACCTGCAATAGAATTAGTGATTTCAATCTTTGCTTGCTCTGAACAGAAACAGCTTCGAAAGAGATTCCAAATGTAAGTCTTATGTTCTCGTCGGGTTGTCTCTGAATCTATAGTGAGCAAATCGAGTCGCAGGCATTCACAAAGTTGCCATGCGCTCAGGTTTCGTGGTCTAACGGTTATGACTGCGGATTCTGATTCCGCCAGCGAGGGTTCGACTCCCTCCGAGACCTTTCTTTTTGTGCTCCTGGCTTCTGTGAGTGAAACAGGTTCTGATGGATCTATTGCCTGGCCTGCGTGTACTAAAGCCTTATGACGTGACGGATGCTTCTTTTGTCTCACCTGGCTCTGCATCCGAAGACATCTTCTGCTGCCGAACAGGACCGGATGCTGGAGTGGGTCTCGAGATCCGGTCCGGGGTTAAGAATCGGCCGGCGTTGACGGTTACGGGTATGTCCGGGGCTGTAGGGCTTGGTAGACTTCAAGAGGATCATGGCATAGAATATATGAAACCATATAGACTAGATATATAAAAGCAAGGTGTTGCAATGAGTTATGAACGAAGCTACATGTGTTATATGCTTCCGTCAGATTATGGTGAACATGATCGTTGCCTGTTTCTGTATTACAATAAGACGGATGAGACATTGCTTGATTGGAAAGATATCTATGGCATCTTGTTACAGTATCTACATGCTCAAATCCATATTGTCCGATTACGAATGCCAATCTCTGTGACGTCGCATCTCAGACGTAAGCTTAACTTCCGAATGGCTTCGGATCTAACTTACACCAATCAACAACACCTCAACTCCAAGTATAAGAAACGGCCAACGCCAGCTTCAAATCCTATTCTTCACTTAATTCAACCACAGACAAACAAAAGCCTTCGAAGTAACTTGACATACACCAAAATGGGCATTGTAACAACGCTCCTCGCACCGGTCCACCTCCTCTCCTTCTCAACCCTCCTTGGCTCTCAACTCTACCAGACCTTCATCGTCACAAAAGTCACTTTCAAACATCTCCCACGCACTCCCTACATAAACTTGCAAAAGACCCTCTTTCCTGTTTTCTTCCAGGGCCAAGCTCTTCTTCTCTTGCTCACAGCCATAACACTGCCCCCGTACGGTGTCCTCTCACTTATCGAGCATAAGAGCGACTGGGTACCATTTGCGATATCTGCATTCGTCTCGGGACTTAACCTTATGGTTTTTGGACCAAGGACGAGACAATTGATGTTGGATCGTGTTGAGCAGGGTAAGAAGCCACTTCATTGGTTGTGTTGGATAAGAGCTAATGAGATAGGGACTTTGGAAGGGAAGACGGCTGAGGGACCGAGTTCGACGATGGGGGCTATCAAGAAGAGATTTACGACTTCGCATGCTATGTGTATTCACTTAAACTTGATTGGTTTGGGAGCTCATCTTTGGTATACTTGGAGACTGGCATCCCGTCTCGACTTTTCACTATGATGGGAGGATCACATTTCTTAAGTGCATTTGAAGCCAGTGTATCATACAATCTATTTACAGCTTTTAGACCTCAACTTCTGACCTTGATCTCAACTTCAACCACAAATAAACATTATATCTAGACCCATCTCAAGGAAGATAAACAATCATCTCAAGCCCACCACTGTAAGCCGTAGTAGTCGTCTTGAATCCATTCTTCGGATCATGGATATAATCCAAAAACTCCTTGTACAGCGCCTTCGCCATCTTTGTGTTATCAGCTAGAATGATAGCTCCGCGTTTCAGACGAGGCTTGATGATCTCCAGAGCTGGAAGTGCCATTGGTATCCAAGCTGTTCAGCATTAGCACTCCTCTATAAGTTAAGGCTCTTCGGACTTACTATCAAGGAGCAGCATATCAATCTCCTCAGGCATACCCTCCTCCGAAAGCGTCTCTCTCAAATCTCCCTCCCTCAACTCAATCCACGGCTCAACCTCTTCACCTGCTTCACTCCAATGCTTTCTCGCCCTCTCAGCCTTACTGCTCTCCCACTCCGTCCCAACAACCTTCCCCGTGACTTTCTCACCCCTTGCTCTCATAGCATTAACGTTCTGTCCTACCGCCAGAGCAAGATATATCGTCGAAACACCAAAACTAGTTCCCGCCTCAATGATGTTCTTGGCGTTTATACTGCGGGCGAGGAGATACATGAAAAGACATTTATCTTGCTCTAGAGCGACGAACTTATCGCTCATGTGGGCGTCAGCGGATGTAGACCATGTCTTGCCGGTGAGGTAGAAGCCGAAGAGACATTTCAAGTAGAACCAGGTTTGAGAGAGGGCTTTTTCTTGAGCTTCTGATTCAGCGTGAAGGCGGGTGAAGAGGTCGTGGACGCGAGGACTTGCCTCTAGAGCTTGCAGGGCTGATGGTGATGGTGCCATGGTGATGGAAGTTGACGATGAAGGCGGTGATAATGTTTTGAAGTCAGAGGGTTTCTCTTACTTTATATACGTGAAATATGAGCCAAAAAGATTCTATTTACGAGCTGAATACGGTAACTGAGGTCGGTAGAGATGTTAGTGTTTAGCTGATATCACCGAGGCCGATACATCATGACCGAACTCTCGGGCCAACATTGCATGCCTTCATTCCGTAGACTTGCCATAATAACTTATTTGGAAAGCGTTTAAATGTGAAAGATTGATAAGATCCTATAGATTAGATAGACTTATTGTGTAAGCTTTCAGGTCAGTATATTATGAGGTCCTGTCACTTTGTATATGTAATATACCTTCCGCTTGCTCCTTACGATTCACATCAAGCACATGGGAAGAGATAAGATTCAGCACCCTATATTGTTTATACATATAACTGGTGCTTTGAATTTGCGCATTTCCTTCGATTAAAGCATCCAGTTGACTGTCTTTGGAGGAGTAATCTGTGTGGTCTCGTTAAGACCGAGAACCAAACCCGGACTTCGGCCCCGGCCCTAAACGTCCTCCTTTCCGATCCCATCCCTCCCCCATATTGATTCACGGAAATCATCCGCATGCAAGGCACAGCAGAGACCTTTTGAGCTGCAGAATACGAAAATCCCAACGGGAATAATGCAGCTACCCGTCAGACTCCATCGCCAGCCTCTTTACCATTCGCATCCACGGGGATACACACAATAAACATCAAACATCCGCCCTCGCTCTTGAAAGGACCATGCCGCATCCCGGGCTTTCGGTACGCATACGCGCCCTTCTCCCAACCCTGCTGCAGATTCTGGTCGTACAAATCACCCTCAGCCATGAAAATCTCCTCAACGTAGTCGTGGATGAAAACGTCCTGCTGATTGCGGGCGCCAGGCTGCCATCGCTGTAATGTTGTGCGTCTGCCTGTCTGCGAGTCCTCGTTGAGGACTAGTTCATCGACGCCCGGCTCGAGAGTCGACCAAACACGATTGAAAGATGTGGTAGCGGGGTGAAATTCAAACTGTTCCATTGCGAATGAAATACAGACAGGTGATCGATACTGTCGCACTTGGGCTCAGCATCGACTGGCACAGCCTTAAATCCTCCAGAAACATAGCCATTGCCTTGAATAACCAGAACACAATGATGTCATTGGTAAGCTAACCATGACAAATGCAGCAACGTTATTGTCTAAACGTCCTGCCAAAGAGAGCAAGCCTCCATACTGCCTTGGAAAAGGCAATCGAGATGATCTTCGTAGGTTGGCTCTTCAAGACAGACAAGTTGCTTCGACATAGCCCAGGACGTTTGCGATGGGAACGTTGCTGACCCCGTGAAGGGAGCCTGCAGCTTACCTAGGCAGAGTGCATCCGCTTGGATGCAACCGTTTGATCTAAAAATGTACAATACAGTAGACTCCTACCGATGTCAAAAGTTATGCGCAGAATTGATAAGAATCACGGTGAGATATGCAGGATTGAGATCTGCGCTCACGAGGTATTGGTGACTTTAAACGCCCACTAGGACTCTCGCATCAAGCTCAAAGAGGTCATGGGGAAACTAAAGCTCGATATTGAGTTGCATCTGAAGTGATGGATATTGACGAATACCAATCGATATATGGGGGCGGCTATAAAAACCCATGTTTAGTATGAGTTGTTTCATGTCGTGGCAGACGTTGGCTAGTGTCAAGGGATATAAAACGGCTAATCAGACATGGTGACAGCTCGAAAATGCTAGAGGCATTCCTCTCAGTCAAACACGTCCTTGAGATCGCCTTGCTTCGGTAGAGTTAAATTGTAAACGCAGCCCGCCGATCCGACGGCTCAGAGTCACTTGACAAGCCAAGTCAGACGGCAGGACGGATAACATCGCAAGAGGTTGTCACTCAGGATGCCGGAGGTGTTACACAACATCCAAAGCTCGTAAAAAGAAGAGAGGTGCTTATCGATGTGGTCGTACAGCATCATCACGAGAATTTGAGACACTGCTTCCAATGATTCAAATCATAGTTCCTGAGACATGTATCCCAAGTCCTGGATGCCGATAATGCCGTCTACAGTTCACGAACATCTGGTTGGTGTTTCCATTCAACTGTAGCACCAGTACGGGGGCAGAGCGGGGGGCTTGTCAAAGTGTGCACATCAAGTCAAGGGGTGTCAAGAGCGTTATGCTCTGTGTTAAGATCATCGGTTGATGTACACGTCGGCCAACGACTGATAAACGTTGCATCGCCAAAGGGGCACTGGTCGAGACTGAAAACGCAACAATGATGTGTAAATCATTGGAAAAATTGTGGCATTGGTGAAAGTTCAACGGGTGAAACCCATCGACGGGAACCAAGATAGCCGGCGTCAGCCACCCGATCAGACTGAGCTTCAGCTCCGGGGCTGAGACAAGGCTCACCAGACTGGGACTGGTCTGCATCTCTGTCACAGTGACAGTGACTGCTTCTCCCCTCGAGGACCTA